AAAAGTTCTCGGTCGCTACACATTCTCCAATGTGATTTAGTTTTCACAGGACTGACCTTCCACATTTTCAGTAGTGGTAATCATATTCCACTTAGCTACTAGTAATTTCTCATCTGGCAAACTTCTCTTCAAGAGGGCATCCCCATTTGCAGGGATAAGAGGAATTAATTGACCACTTGCTGCAACATTTAGAGTATTCGTGTTGCTCTCTTCAAGTGTAGCTGCAACATGGTTGGTATCACCATCATCCACTGAAAGTATACGTTCAAGCTGATTTCTAACTGCGAAACCACTTTGCTCTTTCAAGGATGAAAGAAGAGGATGGTCTCCTGTAAGAACGGCATCCTTCAGCTGTTTTGGGAGGAAATGAGAAAATCAGAACAAATAAGAGCAAATTCAAATATTTTGGCATACAAAATGTCTTCATTCTACATAACTATGTCAAAGAACTCCATTTCACCTGTTGTAAAGTGCACATAGGCAAGTTAGATCTTTTGTGCACTATGAAGGGCTGAACATCCAATTTCAATGTGTCCAGTCCATACTCTTATCAGATTTTGTACAGATGTCTAACAATATGTACAGAAAATTACAAACGCAGGTTAACCATTCTGAGATACAGCAAGTACCTCAACATACAGCTTATTTTAAGATTAAATCTCTCAAAAGCTACACAAGAGATAAAGCAAAGTGAAGCACCTTATGAGATATGTTCTCAAGGACAGCTTCGCAACTCTCTGATGGGTCAAATCCAAATTTAGGTCTTGAAGATGCAGATACAAGATTTGCATTTCGAGCTCCAGTGACAAACATTGTCTCTATAATTCTCAAGGAGACCAATTCTCTTGCATTTTTTCCAAGATCTAGATATTTCTGGGGTCTTCTTAACTAAATCTACAGAACACCCACCATCAAAATAAAACTCTCAACTCTCTCAACAACAACATGAGTAAAATTATTAACGACATTTTTCATTACAAAATAAATTAAGCGCCATGTGTACCATATAAAATAGATTCATCTACTTCATTAGAGCTTGCTAGTGTCTCAATGATCCAGATCCATGGAAAAGTTGATGCAGAGGAAAGCTGGCAATCCATTAAAGACTGTTCCAAAGCTTAAGAAATCATGTCTATTGGCCTGTCTGTCCTGTTGTTTTATGTGTAGCTTATAAAGCGCATTTGGAAGTAAACATCAGAATATCCATGAATGAAATCCTCTAAGGACAATGTACAGCATAAGGATACAGAAAAGTGTGAGGTAATTGCAACTTTCAAGAAACTTCGCCAAATAGGCACTAGTTTTCGGCCTTTCTTTCACTTGTATTTCTCGTCTTAGCAATTTCATTTTTCATGCGTTCAAAACTCAATTTTTCTTTTGACTCTATATGATATTTGCTACGCAAATCCAGTTTCTCCCTTTCCCATGTTGAATAAAGGTATGGAAAAAGTATAAAAAGGAAAAAATGCTAAGGAGAATACTTCCTGTCTCAAGTTGCAAGGAATTGACCGTATCATCATATGTATTGGCAAAAGGATTTATTTTATTTTATTTTATTTTTTATTTATTTTAATCTTTGACCTTCCACTTCTCATTATATTCGACAATGTCATGTTGATTCTTGATTTAAGAACAACAGTATTAATTCCCCTCTTTCCTATTCCTTTTGCCTTTATGCAGGAAGCTTATTTTCACTGACATTGTTAATCACCTCATTTTGCATTATTTTCATTCTACTACTTTTCCCATAACGTAATGTTTCTTTTCCTAACCAGCATCTACAGGATTTTTCAAACACATTTGAACCAATTCTATCTCACCAATTTGGAGCACTCTTATTTTATATACTCCGAAGCTCCCACGTAAATATTTTCATTCCCTTTATCCCTTCTATTTTTTAAAATTAATTTGTGTAACAAAATACAGCACCTAACGAGTTTCATAATCGATAGATTAGACTTATCCATCTATATCAAATTTGATTTAACTCCTGGAAGAAAATATAGACCAAATATAAACCGGAAAAAATTACTTTCAGACAACCATAGCATGTCAATAACCGGAAAACAGAAAATAACACACAAGCATTCAAAATTAAAGTCAAGATAAATCACCAGAGAAATGCCTGAGATTTGAAGATTTCAATAAAGCTTATGCTTCGGATTCACTCTGACCCTCTCGCGGGCATGCGCTTTTGAGCGTTTCAAAAAGTGCAAATTAGGCTGAACCCTTGCATTTCAAAAATGAGAATTATAATTTATATATGGGAAAATTGCAGCGGTACCAAACCTTTTATTTTTTGCAGACTTTATTCAAATCTTTCATTTGTGTCACTCACGGTATCAAACATTTAAACAATTCGCACCCGAAGTTCAGATTGACAGAAACTGTTAGTTGACCAATAATTAAATGTCTGATCAATAGTTGACCAATTTTAAAGAGTAAATATGTAATTTTACATTTTTCATATGAAAAAATTAAAATTAAAGAATTAAATTAAAAAAAAACTCTAATATACTGTTCATCTTCTTCCCAACCCGTCCCCCACAAATAAAAACCAGAAAACCATACTGCCACCGCCCACCACCACCACAACTCACCTCAACCTACACTGTTACCACCGCCACCTCTACCATATAAAACTCATCACCTTCCCCACCTACTCCACCTCTACCCTACCCGTCAACCCGATCCCCATCTTTTGTGCAGTAATGTGGAAAAATTGCTGGTGATTATGACTATGGTACTGGCCTTCAGATGTATTAAAAACACCAATGGATCTAAGCTTGCATGCTTTGGCAAATTTACTAACAATTTCCTAAATATTTGAAGGTTGATTAAGTGATTTAGACTCACCTGCAAATTCCATTCCCTGACTACGTGATTCTATTCCCATCAAATCAGACAAAATTCAAGATCTGATTCTAATAAAGAATCTTACAAGAAAAATGGTTCAAGACTGAGAGAGAGAGAGAGAGAGATGAAAATGGATGAACCGAAGGGAATCTGTCTTCCTGGGGTACTGTGATTTTACCAAAAGTTTTGTTAAATATAGATCCCATGGTTGAGGATTTTGTCTGATGGCTCCGATGTTTCTAGGGGCGTAAAATTCGATTCCTATCACTGATGAAGACAATGTGAGAGCTGTGTTTTGGAGACGGGGATCGGGTTGCGAGGTAGGGTAGGGTATGGGGGAAGAAGATCAATATCTTAGAGTTTTTTTTTTAATTTAATTCTTTAATTTTAATTTTTTCATATGAAAAATGTAAAGTTACATATTTACCCTTTAGAAATTGATCAACAATTGGTCAGACATTTAATTATTGGTCAACTAACGGTCAAATTAACGGTTTCTGTTATTCTGGACTTCGAGTGCGAATTGTTTAAAAGTTTGGTACCGTGAGTGGCACAAATGAAATGTTTGGACAAAGTCTGCAAAAAAGTGAAATGTTTAGTACCGTGGGACGTTAAAAGGGAAATCTATGTGGAGTTAGATGATAATATATTATTTTAATATTAAATTATAATATTATAAAATTTAATTAATTATAGGGAAAATTGTAGCCACGGTGTCAAAAGGAAAAATACTCATCATCTACTCTCACACCCCCACCCATCTAAAACCTAAAACTACCAAAATCATTTCTCCATTCTAGGTCAAAAGCCGAAATCTGGTGCCTTGTTAAAGTTGGAGGAGGAACAAAAAAACTCTCCAATCGAGCAAATATCTCTCACGATGCTGGTTAACAACGACCCAAACCTACCCGTTGTCACATTCCGGATGTGGACCCTAGCAGGTGACGGTATCTGTAGGTGTTTTGGTGGTAGCATGCTGATTTTGTAAGTAACGACGACGATGGGTTTTGGTAGGTATTGACTAAGATTGTCAGGAGCTGAGCTTTGAATAGGTGGGATCTTGGGACTGAAGCAATAGTAGGGAGGTGGCATAATTATTGGTGTCTCCCTCTGATTAGGAATTTTTGTAAATTTTGTTAATCGGGAAGATGAAGTGTTCATATTTTTTGGTTTTAGGGTGGATGTGTGTGGGGGTGAGTGGAGAACCCAAAAAAGTGGAACCTCCTTGGGATGAAAATTTCAGCGACTTTTCCATCTACCGACTACTTTGCTTCGAGTGATGTTGTGGAAATGGTGACGGTACCATCGATTTAAGATATGTCCCGTATTTAATAATTTTCTTGGTGATTTGACGTGGAAGATCTTGGTAATAAATTAATTATATTTTCAAGTTCTTGAGATTTAAAGTTTTACAAAATTCTAACAAGTGGTATCAGACACAATTTCATGTCAAATAATTGTGATTAAAAGAAGATTTTTTAGGGTTGAAATTCTTACTTTGGATTTCTAAATTTTGGGATGTGAATTTCAAGCCCTAAATTTCAAAATTTTGGATTTTTGGGAATTTTTCAGACTTACAACATTGCCGCAGCACTGCAGTGCCGTGTTTGGGACTCTACGATGCTGTGTTACGAATTGCCCGATCATAGGTAGAGTTATGTTCCGGTGCTGCTCACACAATGCACAACACAGTACCGGCACACAGTGCACAACACAGTACCGGCCGCTCCAGTGCCGCGTCGTCCTATCTTTGTCCTAAATTTTGTATTTTTTTGTTAAAACAAAATAAAGAAAAATTAAAATTAAAAGGTAAAGGACAATCAAATTCAAATTTTGGTATTAAAGTTTCTTTCGGATTACTAATTTTTTAAAATAGATTAATTGAAGTAACATGTTACCAAAGTAACATCTCTTGTCTAATTTAATTTATTTAAAATATTAGGAAAGTTGTGTGCACGTAATTCATGTGGGTATTGATTGGGTCAAATGAGGGTTAATATCTTGTCCAATTATTTGTACACGTGTGATAATAAATATGTGACAATTATAAATATTCTTTTATGTGAACAATGAGTCGATCCAAAGATAGATTTAATGTTTGAAATGGTTTATTGTCAATATTTGATTATTACACCAAGAGTACCACTTACAAATTGATATTTCTGTTCGAAGACTAAATGTCAATGTTGTACCCGATCTCTTATGATGGGGCTCACCATTATTTGAATTTATTGAGTACTCAATATGGATTCTCATGTAAACATGTTAATTAGGTTTAAGTTCTCTATTCAATTAATCCATCAACTTCTGCAATATTTACCAACATCAATTCAATTCTTATGTTTGAACCAAAGATTAAGGACATGAAAGAGAACATTTGTATTGTTCTTGGTAGCATGGATCTAGACCTTATGTTAAGAACTGAACAACCTACTACTCTTACGGATAAGATTTTGCTAATAAAAATAGGACTCAAATAAGTGAGATCATTCAAACTGCATAAATCTTATGATCATGAAGCATGAAATTCCAGTAACATTCAGGGGTACTGTGTCCAATAAGGTAAATGTTGCCGAGGAATTTCTTAAAGAAATTGAAAAACGCTTTGCAAAAGGTGATAAAGCTGAAACTAGTACGCTTCTAGCAAACTTGGTTTCACTAAAGTATAAGGCTATAGAAAACATAAGTGATTACATCATGGATATGTTTCATCTTGCTTCAAAACTAAAGGTATTAAAGTTTGATCTATTTGATGACTTGTTCATGCATTTGGTTTTCATTTATCTTCCTGCACAATTCAGTTAATTTAAGGTCGGTTACAACTGTCAAAAGGAAAAGTGGACTTTTAATGAACTTATTTCATATTATGTGCAAAAAGTGGATAGGCTAAATTAAAAGAGAAATGAAAGTGCTCACTTGGCAAGTACCTACAAGAACAACTTAAAGAATAAAGAAAT